GTTTCTCCTTAGTTCTAGGTTGCTTCTCTCCTTGATCAGTTTCCACCCATTGCTTCTCGTCCTGCCTTCAGGCGCCTTGGAGAATAGCTTGACTCCCTCTTCTTTGTGGCAGCCCCTGAGATATTGGAACACTGCTATCATGTCCCCCCTCGTCCTTCTCTTCGTTAAACTAGACATACCCAGTTCCAGCAACCGTTCCGTATATGTTTTAGCCTCCAGTCCCCTAATCATCTTTGTTGCTCTTCTCTGTTCAATTTGAGTTGGCCAGAGAAAAAGTCTGGCATTTAGTGTGGGATTAACTTGCCAAATCTTTATGTGTGGCCAGTGTATATAAATCACAGGAACAATGAAAGCCATGTGCTTAAATAAATCCTTTCAGCAATGGCTCTGCTGGCTTTGGATTCTAGGAATTGTTTAACACCTGGGGAGATATCAGATTGGGAACAGATAGCTAAAATCTGTATATCATTAGGTGCTGAAAAAAGGTAGCAAAGTTTTTTCATATATTACTTGATCTAAATGAATACAAGCAAGGTATGAAATAAAGGTCTCCTTTCTAGAGTCTTCCTTACAGTATACTAGATAAGTCTATTCCTGTATGATGTGCTGAGTTTAAGTCACCCTGAAGCATGATTGGGGAACTAAGATCCTGATCGATGCAAAGGTAATCAAATTAACCACTCCTGCAGCAAATAATCTCACACCAGATATATAAGCCACTTATGCATTTTCCTTGAGTTTTTTTAAAAATGAAATAATAATGCCTAATGGCTTTGCAGTTGGAGGCACAGAGTGGGGGATGGCTGGATCTTCGCCCACCTCCCTCCTGAGCCCAATTAATTCCCTGCATGTTCACAGAGATTGAAAAGAAGCCGGAGAAGTAAAGATGCTGCTGTCAGAACAACTCTGCTTTGCAGTCATTCCATCAGCCTGTTTCTATGGCAGGTGGAAACAATGGTAGTTACTGGAGACTACAGATTCAAATGACATATCAGACTGTAGCTGACACACATTAACTGAAAAGGGCATGATTTTACATTTACTTAGTATAAAAAATGTACAGCCACTTATTTTGCAAAAAGCGTCTCTGCTTTATCTTAACCATCATTTTACCCTAATGGAACAGTTGAGTAGCCTAACTGTAATGGCTAAATTCACATGATATGCTTAGTGAAGTCAATTATAGATATAGTGGATGCTTTTGTACATTATATCAACTTTAGCTAGTTATACTCAGGGGTTTGGAAGTACAGTTTGTTATGTAAACCCAACCCAACCAAGTTGATGGTTCAATGCATTGTATGAATCCCCAAAGGGTGTGTTATGCAAATATAGTCAGTGTGGCTTACTAAAATCTAGATTTACATGCTATTATCCATCTAGTCCAAAATTGTGAATTTTGATTTGTTGTAACCCTGTAGGACAGTGTTTCTTAACTTTGGCCACTTGGAGATTTGTGGACTACAAGTCCTAGAATTTGAGTCTGTCTTCTAGCTGGGGAATTCTGGGAGTTAAAGTCCACACATCTTCAAGTGGCCAAAGTTGAAAAACACTGCTATAGGGCAGATCATGATGCTACAATCTTGCCGATAAAATTAATGGATGAATAAATACCAGAAGCAATAATACAGAAAATGATTTATCAAATAATTTGTCTGCCTCGTTCTGTTCCAGGAGTGAGCACGAGGGAGGGGTTAGATTTGTTGGTAGCTATTTTGCATCCTGCAGATGGCTTAAGAATTTCAGATTCCAGATTGTTTAAGAGCAGTAAGAAAATGATTCCTCATTCCAAGTGTAAAATTCTGAGTTACGTTTCATTTTTCTCCAAGACCTTTGGAAATTATTTGTATGGTTTTGTACACTTTTAGTTCTTGGGAGGGAGAAAGAGTTTCCACTTAAGTCAAATCAAGTTCTTAAGTCTATAATCCTGATTGAATGAAAGGTAGGAAAAGTTCTTTGCTACCTAAAGAAGAATTTCCCCACATGCTGTCTTTCATAGGATTGTTAAGGATTGTAGCAGGAATCCTGGTGTACTATTACTGGATTGCAGTCCTTATCCAAAGAAATGAATGTTGGAAGGCTGTTTTATATCAGGTCACATTATGCAGTGACTTCAAACTCTCAGGTAGAGAGACATCCTTCAGATGATCTTAATTTTTTAAAGGAAGATGCTCAGGATTATTTTTTTCCACAAGGAAGAAGCTACATCACTGCTGGTCTTGGTTAGAATAAAATGCTAAACTAACTTTATACAAGGCAATGTATGAATTTTAGGAGATGCCTAATGATTTCATAAATGATCAAACCATAGTATATTCTACAATTATATTGATCATAAGTAGGCATTCCATGACTAGTTTCATTCTTATTAGAAATTATCAGATGTATTAATAAGATTTATTGATAAGATGTATTGATAAGATTTATAACCCATTTTTCACTGATGAATTTAAGGTAGCATCCATCTATTTTTCCCGTGTCAACCCTATGAGTTAGAGAGGGCTAAAAGCTCTAAATCAGTGTTTCCCAACCTTAGTAACTTGAAGATGTATGGACTTCAACTCCCAGAATTCCCCAGCCACAATGGGATTGGCTGGTATGGCTGGCCAGGGAATTCTTGCAGTTGATGTCCACATATTGTTAAGCTGCCAAGATTGAGAAATACTGCCCTAAATCATTCAGTAAGACTTACTCCCAAATCAGTGGATGTTAAATTGTAGTTCCAGTTTATAATTAGCGTAAGTAATTCTCTTCTCTTTTGAGATTCACTGCAGGATGTGATAGAAGGGATACCAGATGTAGAACTAAGCTGGGAACCTCTACCTTTAAAGCTGAAGAAATTTAAACAGTTGTAGCCTGTCACATAAGTGAGGTGACATTAAGCAGAGATTAGACATATTTCTGAAGGAGGAAATTATTTTTATTCCCTGTTTCTGAAAGTTAGCTATGAATGCTGACGTAGGAAATCTTATGTAGGAAAAAGAGCACCAATGATTGAAAAATGGTAGCTCAAGCAGACTTAGGAAGACTCCATATAATATGTAGAAGGAACAGATGAAGTTATTAGGATGACTTGGAAGAACTTTGATGCAGGTACAGTAGTCCTCAATTTATGGCTGATCGCGTAGTGATTATTTGAAATTACATGGGACCCCCCTCCCCAAAAGCTACTTACAACCCAGTTCCAAAGATGCATTCCCCTGTCACATGACTGCATTTTGATCACTCAGCAACTGGCCCACATTTATGGCCATTTGCAGAGTACTTCAGTCATATAACCATGATTTACCATGTTTTTGCAGGAAACTGGCAGTTTACTTCCTTTCCAGCAGAAAACAGCTCACCGCAAACAATGGGTTTTATGACCGCCGCAAAAAAGATTGTAAAATCAGGTTGGTCACTGATGAAGACCCATTTTACAACTGTAATGGCCAGGAACAATTATGGTCATAACTCAAGGACTACCTGTAGTTAAAACTGCTTCTTGACAATGCATTTATTGCAAAACAGCCCTCATTTATAGAATTTTATGGGGTATTCAGATGCCACCTTTTAGTTCTAATTATATTCACTTTTTTTTTCTTTCTGTATTTTCTTTTTTTTTTTCACAGAAAAGCCCACAAAGGTGTGGGGAAAAAATGGGAGGGCCATACAAAGCATTTAGTCCAGGAAATCAAAGTATTCCCGAAGAGGGTAGGAATGGATCAGAGGGCTGGCATCCTGAATAACAGCTCTCTATCCTATTGTGTCTTCTCAAAGGTTCCACTTAATAGTTGTGATTTCTATATTGAAATACAATCTTCCAAAGCAGTAAACATTTATATGCTCCTGAAAACAGAAGGGGAAATGCATTTCTTCCTTCTCTGCTGATGATTTCCTGATATCTAATTGGATATTATTGTAAGCTAAATTCCAGAAATGATGGACTTTTTGAAGACAGAACGAACATTCTTAAATTCCCTTCTGTGGAGCAGATATATCCTAATTCAGGGTTCCCTATTTGATGCCTTATAGACTCTAATTCCCATGGTCCCCATCCATCATGGCCCATTTGAGTTGTAAACCAGGACATCTGGAGGTTACCATTTTGTCAAAAACTAGACCATTTTGTATTACTATCCAGGCCTTTGATTGAGGCTGCCAGGGAAAATAACCATATGTGATCATTTGACCCTCAGATAGCATATTAGCACCAAGCTGCCACTGCCTAGGAGTGAAACCTGTATTAGTAGTGGGCAAACAATGGTTACGAAAGCAATATTTAAGAATGGACCTGCTTCTTCTGAGCATAATTCTTAATGGTGTTTTTCCTTTCTGTGTCAGGGAGGTGCCCTTTTACTTAATCATCACATCACCGGCAATAGGATACCTTTAAAGATTGTCCATCCTTTCCGGTTGGGTGTCTTATACCTATCTGGCTCCCTGGGACTGCACGTTGCATTGAAGCTCTCTTTCAATTGGCCCAGTCTCCTCTCGCTGGGTAGTTCTACTTTTGTCTGCAGGAAGCTTGGAGGACTAGAGCTTCCTTTCTTGCGGGAGTAAAAGATGGCTGCCACACAGGAAGTACCTCCTCCAGCATTGGGCCTCCACTTTTTGTACCCATTAGAAGAAACAATGGCACCCAGGGTGAAAATAGAAGAGCCTGGTCCCCCATGTCCTGAAGCTGGTTGGGAATGGGATGCTCCGGGGAAGACTCCTCTTGTTGTCCAGGCAGGCACCATTAGTGATCTGTTGAGGTGGGCAACTCCTCCCCAAGTGAGGAGCGACCCAATTCCACAGCTTTGGGAGGTTCAGTGCCAGGAGATGGTGCAAAGCCTGAGGACACCTGCTGATGTCATGCCAGCCCCTGTGCCTGTCCCACCCCCAGCCCCTGGCTGGGGCAACCTTCAACTACCTGAGCTTGCACCTGTGGATGACATTGAAGCCTACCTGTCATCCTTTGAGCGTGCGGCCGAATCATGCCAGTGGCCGAGAGGAGAGTGGATGAGCCGTCTTATGCCAGCTCTCGGAAAAGCCCAGCCACCCCATAATGGCTTGGATGCCAGAGGTGGCAGGAATGAGCATAGAAAGTCCAAATCTTCTGGCCTGCGAGGGGAGGCAGGCGCCAATGTGGAAATGCAGCGGCAGCGTTTCCGGCAGTTCCGTTACCAGGACTCTGAAGGCCCCCGGGAGGCTTGTCGGAGGCTCCGGGAGCTTTGCCGGCGTTGGCTGAAGCCTGAGAGCCGCACAAAGGAGCAGATTCTGGAACTGCTGATCCTGGAGCAGTTCCTGACCATCTTGCCCCAAGAGATCCAGAGCTGGGTGTGGGAACGAGGCCCTGAGACGTGCGCCCAAGCGGTAGCCTTGGTGGAAGGATACCAGATGGGACGGCGAGAGGCAGGGATGTGGGAGCAGCAGGTAAGGGAATTTTTAATCCTCTTGATTCTAGGAAATACATTGTGATGAAAATTTAACATCCTTAGCACGCCAACATGTTTTCTCATTCCACCTCTCCCCCCCTTCACCCACCCACAAGGCAAAGGAGATTTGAATCAGTGTTTTAATGATTGCATCAGTGTTCCATATAAAAATAGCCAAGGCTTTGCCCAAATGCAAACTTGCAATCTAAATGATGCAAAATTGGCAAGAAAAAGCTCAGTCATGAATAGAGGAAGGATGATACATGGGTAAAAGTTCTTTGAGTTGGCACAGGATTTCAACAGCATTATCTTTTTTTAATGTGTTGATTTGTTTATGGATTATTTTTTAATTAGGCTTTAAACCTTTTCCTGTTTTATATACAAAGAAGGCGGAAAAGACTGGGTCATGTGACAGGTTTTCTCATTAGCAAATGAACCTGCACTTAGTCAACCACGTTTCTTCCTGATTTATTCAGGCTGGAAATGGCTGGTCATCAATTGTTAAGGGCCTCTTCATATGCAAGCATGCAGGGGGACTCTGGTGAAACAAGCCAAAAGCAGCATCTCCAAATGCCTTGGATGGCAGCTCTTACAGTCTCTTGTTATTAGCCATGTTGGTTAAAACTGATGAATGCTGAAATTCAAAACCTTCAGAAGACTCCAGGCTTTTGGCTACTCCAATGAGTTAGGGTGCTAGATGGACTTGTTATCAGATAGATCTGTATCCTTTTGAAAGGTTTTTGGAATGGGAATTGCAAAACAACAACCATGGATGCTTAAATGGCTAATTAATTCTCCTTTAGATTTAAGGCTTAAACAAATAAGTGGAATGGGTAGATTTCCCTAAGTTCTTAGTGACCCACTGTTGTCCTTGTTGCTAGGTTACAGTGCGGGTCAAGGTTGAACAGGTAAGCCCACAGGAAATGATATTACCTGGAGCACCGTGGGATCCTTCAGCCTCGCTGCTGCCCCATCCCGAGTGCCTATCCTCATCCGATATAACACTAAACCAGCCTATCCCAGGCCCTGCTCTCAAGATGCCCTGCATCCCAAAACAGGAACCACAAGGCCTTCAGGAAACAGGTAAGAAGGAAGAAAGAAGCAGGATGTTCTAGGAATTTTTTCCTGCTAAAGGGAATCAGTTGCTACAGGAAAAATAAATCAGCGATAAACTCTTTAGGGAAGTTTTGTCTGTAACAGATGAGGAATTATCCAATTCCCATTATCTCCAGCCACTGGAGCTAGAACAAGAATTTGTAGTTCAGCAATATCTGAAAGATAGTTGAGTTAAGAAATTCAGTTTTTTAAAATAAATCTATGGAATGATTGGCTATGAGAGAAGATGAATATTCATTTAAGAATTCTAATGCTTTGCTTCCATTTAGTGGGCATCCAGATGTTTGCAGTAAAGATTTGGTAGCGCTGTGCAAACCATGTTATTTAATAGTAACTATGATAAAAAATATTTGAGTTTCTCCAGTTCCCAGAAATTCCTTCCACATTTTTAACAGACAGCAGTTTGATGTAGGCGGAAGAGAGAATATAATCTAACTCAGGGCTTTTCAACCAGTGGTACGGGTACCACCTATGGTACATTGGCACCTGGCAGGTGGTACGCGACCATCCTAGAAAAGTGGTAGCGGGGGAGGGGAATGAGCTGAACCGGTGGCAGCAACGCACAAGCCTGAGCGAGAGATGGCTGGAGCTGCAGGGCTGTCAGGGCTCAGCGGAAGCGCCAGGATCAGCGCTTCTTTGGGGCTGTCAGGGCTCAGCGGAAGCACCAGGATCAGCGCCAGGCTCCAGCTGGAGCTGGGCGCTGATCCTGGCGCTTCTGCTGAGCCCAGAAGAAGCATCAATCAGCTGGAATGTTGCAGCATCTCCAGGGTCTTGTGATTTACATTCAGATGCTTGGCAACTGATTCATATTTATGACGGTCACAGTGTCCCAGGGTCATGTGAAGTGACCAAAACCTGCTGCAACCACCCAGCAGATGGGGGAAATAAAAACCAAACACCCCCCATTCCACCCCCACTGCCAATCCTCAACAGAAATGCTCACAACAATGAAAACCTGGACAGGAGGAAGAGCACCGCCGGGCGCTGTCTTGCTCAGCTGTGGCTTGGGGGCACTTTTTTCAGTGCCATTGTAACTTCGAACAGTCACTAAGCGAACTGTTGTAAGTCGAGGACTACCTGTACTTTATCACTTTTTTCTCTCTTTTTTTTTGGCCATCAAGTTTTTGACACCTTGCTAGGTGACTGGTGGTACTCGAATGTTGCCATATCCTAAAAGTGGTACAATGGGTGAAAAGGTTGAAAAGCCCTGATCTAACTTATCTATCTCTTATCTATCTGAACACTTTTTACTTCATTTATTAGAGCAGCTAAACAAGGTATACTCTACCAAGATGTTTGAAAAGAAAAAGAGCTGAAGATGGAAAAAGAAAATGTTAAAATTCAATTTCTTCTAGTAATGTAGCACCTTTTCTTTTTGTCCCTTTGAGTCAATCATGACTTCTGGCAAAAGTCTAGATGAGTCCCTACAGTTTTCCTGTCAAGATTTTTTAGAAGTGGTTTGCCATTGCCTGCTTTCTAAGCTAAGAGAGAAAGCCGGGCCCAGACAGCCTAAAGCAAGACTAGAACTTGCAGTCTCCAGTTTCTAGCCCAGTGCCTTTAATTGCTATACCACTACAAAAATTAAATGATTTTGTATCTAAATCCTATCTCATTTGTGTGTATTGCATTTGAGAATTCAGTGAGAAAAATGCATCTTACAGTTGAAGTCTGTCTTCCTCCATTTGATGCATTTCAGATGAGTTGAACTTCTTTCTATTCCCAAATAAATGGAGGATATATGTTGATTACGCTTTTCACAGGAGCTCCATGGACTGAGTATAGAGGATAGATTTGAAATAGAACTTAGAACAGTAATATATTATTCAGCCTAACTAAAGTGATTGTAGGATTAGATAGATGAAGGACGTTCCATTAATATAGCCTGATCTGGCTGCTTCTAGATATTATGTGTTAAACTCCAGTGATTCCCATTTCCAGAACTTTTAATTTGGTCCAACTGTTGCTCCTGCAATTATCTGCCTGAGCCTTTTTTTTTTAATCTGAACTAGGGACAGTAGAGAAATGTTCATTAATAGTCTCAAAGGTGCTTTTTCAAAAGGCAACTGGACTATTTTTCCCTTGAGGAGGAAGAAGAAGACATTTTGCTTCTCATTCAAGAAGCTTAATCGGTTCTAGCAAAATGGTGGGGGCAAAAGTCCAGAATGTGAACGTTCTGTATACAGAGGACATATTGGTTTGAAAGAGGGGTAAAAGAGGCTATTTATGTTAACATTGAGCAGCTTTCTCTCAACAGAGGGAAGGAGTATGACACCACCTATCTTCTGTCTACAACACAGTCCTTTCAGTAGTTCCCAGAAGATTACATCCCCATTTGCCCTCTGATACAGGTGACCCTGAGAGCACAGATAAACCCCCAAATGACCTCAAAGGCTCTCAGAGAGAGTGCTAATGACCAGAGGACTGCAAAGAAATATAATCCTTCCACCACTATCCCATCCTGTCAGATCTAATCCTTCCATCGCCCCCACCATCCTGCCAGAACCAATGAAGCTTCTTGGATGAGAAGCAAAATGTCTTCAAGGAAAAACAAAGTCTAGTTGTCTTTTCAAAAAGCACCTTTGAGACAACTATGATCTGGATAACTGAGACTCTCCACAGATGTTCATTAACAGTATGATGTAAATTTATCTGATTCCAATTCCTGAATCTACAGGCAAACTGGAATGCAGTTGTTTCACCTAAATCTGCTCTTTGGAATCAAAGCTTACTAATTACAATGGATATGGAATAGAACAAGTTTAAAATTTGAGAAATGAAGAATTGAGCAAAATCAATCATAAATGAGTCAGCTCTTCTTTTCAGTCTATCAAACTTCAACTATTTCTGCCTATAGTTAGCTGCTCTTTTTGTATATTTATCCTCTACTCTTGCTTTTCCAAACCCAACAATCATTGCTCTTGTATGGCCAATAATTATGTAAGAGCAATATAATTGCTCTTATGTGGCCAATAATTATTCTTTATAATTAAAGAATCTTCACCCAAGAACTAAAAATTAATCTGTGGAAATAATTTTAAAAATTGTTTACTTCTATTGGTACTCTGTATGGATGCTCTGGCATAAAATAGATCTTTATAGGAATAACACTTAGACTCATATACTGCTTCACAGTGCTTTACACCCCTCTCTAAGCGGTTTACAAAGTCAGCAGATTGCCCCCAACAATCATTTTACCAACCTCAGAAGGATGGAAGGTTGAGTCAACCTTGAGCTGGTGAGAATTGAACTGTCGAACTGCAGATAGCCGGCAGTCAGGAGAAGTAGCCTGCAGTACTGCATTCTAACCACTACGCCACCATGGCTTTCTTTATCCTATGCCAACTTATTTTTGATCAGCTATTAGTCTGACAGACAACCAAAACTATGCCTATGTATACAGACATTACCAGATGGAACATACAGAAATTAAATTGACTATATATTTTTATATAAAGAGATGGAAGAGCTCAGTTAAAAGAACAAAGATGTGACAGATGCAGTTCAAGCTAACGTGGAAGAACAAAGGTAGTCAGTTTTCCAAATAAGATCTTAAACATAAGCCTACCATTTTCAAAGACAATATTAGGCACTTTGAAGTCCCGAATCTCAGTGATAGGAAACCAGAGATATCATAGAATTAAATAAGTTGTTATGGATGAATGTCAAAAGTGGCCACCAAAGAGAGGAAATGGCTGAGGAAGAAAAAGTAACTGGGACACTGGGAGGCAGTGACCATGCTGTCCTGGAATTTCAGATAATTGATGATGAGAAACTTCAGCCACACCTCAATATTAGACTTCATGAGAGAAGACTTTATTAGACTGAGAAGGATAGTAGGCAACATCCAATGGTTTGATATTGTAAAGGAGAAAAATGTCCAAGATCTATGATAAAGTCAGGCTTTTCCGGAAGGCCTGTACAGCCAAGTGCCAAGCTGTGGATTTAATCCATAGCTCGGTTCTCAGCTGCAGTGGTCTTCTAGAAAGGCCTGTGACTGAGAAATGCAGGCCTGGCTGCAGAAGACAACGCAGAAGAAGTGGGCCGACGAGGAGAGACCTGGGTGCAAAGTAAGTAGGTGCGGGGCGCATGGGGCAGGTCCACACCCCCGCCCTAGTTTGCTTTTTAGGTGTGTGCCTTGCCCCAAAACTAGGGCTTATTTTTGGGATAGGGTTTACTATTGGGGAAACGTGGTAGCTGCATGTTGTCAGCCTCATCTGCCCATCATGAAAGACTTTTCTTTTTCTTTCTTGACAGGCTCTCTACTGGCCAATGGAATCCGAGAGAACCACTCTTTGCCTGGAGGCATGATGGAAATGGGATTGCTCCCTGGGAATTCCCGGGAGAAAATGTTGGGTGAGAATTGTGGTGAACGGATGAGTCAACAATGTGATGTGAGATTTGGAGACACAAGAGAGAATCCAGTTGCACATCTCAACTCTCTTGGAGGCTCTCACCCAGCAGGAAAGTCCCTTCACCAGTGTTCAGAATGCGGGAAAACATTTAGCCGTAACTCACATCTGCTCACTCACCTAAGGATCCATACTGGGGAGAAGCCTCACCAGTGCCCTCAGTGTGGCAAACGTTTTGGTCACACTTCCCAGCTGACTCGTCATCAGAGGACCCATGCCTCAGAGAGACCTTTCCGATGTGCTCAGTGCAGCCGAAGCTTTTACCAGAGCTCAGAGTTGACCAGGCATCGAGTGTCCCATGCCAGAGACCGTCCGTATGGGTGCAGCCAATGTGGGAAGAAGTTTCGCTGGAGTTCTGATCTCATCCGACACCAGATCACCCATACAGGAGAGAGACCGTACAAGTGTCCTGACTGCGGGAAGAAGTTTGGTCAGAATTCGCACCTGGTTCGACATCGGAGAACCCACACTACTTAGCCAAGATCTTCCCAGAAGGAAAGAAAACTTGTTTCCCAGCATTGAAAGCTCACTAAGGGCCAAAGCATGGAACCAGACCACCACTTAGCTTAGTGTCATAATGAGCCAGATGACCGATGAACTTTCGGTTCAGTATCTGCAGAGATTTACCTGTTGATATGGCTTAATTAGAAAGAATCCAGTCTATCTGCAGTGGGATAGGCAAGGTGGCAGTTTCCCAATACCAATTTGTGTTCTACCTAGAGAGTCACAGTAGAACGGAACTGATTACTTTAAAAAGGTGCTGAGCCTTACTAAGCTGACTTCCTGGACAATACTAAACCACTAATATTGTGGTGGCACCAGTTGGATGTCTTTTTTCTTTCTCTATCTCCTTTTCCTTCCTCATTCTCTTTTAATAGAAAAGATAATAGATCTTCTAGTCGTCTAGACAGATTTATTGTTACATAACAACTTGTATTCCTTGCCCTGAGACCATTTCTTTGTTGTGAAGCAAAAACAATGTATTTTTTTGAGAAAATGACCAGTCTGTATTGGCAGAGGGTTGAAATCTTTTAAAATGATGGAGATCTCCTCTTGGGGAAGCTGCTGTGAAGTATTTTGCCTTTTTTTTTTTTTTTTGAAATTACAACTTTGATAAATGGGAAAATTGTCAACCTAAATTTGTAGTGACGTGGAAATTTGTATAACAGGACTCGGTATGATTTCAGTAGGTTGGCCTGCAGGTTAGGTGAACTTTATTATGGCCAACTCTAAGGGCTGGCCATGACTATATAAGGGGATTGATGCACGTCTCCTATCTGGTACTTTACATTGCCAGTAATCCTATCGATCTATTGCACACAGCCTCTTTCTTCTTTGTGAGGGACAACACTGGCAAAACACTCTTTCCTCACATTCAGCAAAGAATATCTCAAAAGTATATTCTTGGGTACTTCAAGAGGAAACCGCTGCTAAGATTTTAATGCTGTTCACGTTGGGTCATGGGAAGTGGTGGTAGAAGAAGTTAGAGAGTCCTTTGCTAGAGGGAATCAGTAGACACCTAATGTAGTTCAATCCTTTTTATTACATAATCCTGACCAAGGATCTCTTGTAATTAATTATGGTAGCCACGTTGACATAATACATTTATCAGGACAATGAACGCTCAAGCTATAGCGCTGCTCGACACATTTAATGTTCGTTACTCTTTGGGAGTGGCTTACGTGTTGTGTGGATCCGACTCATTTGATTAGTTCCAGTGCATTGTGTAAACCCAGATAATGGGTTAATTCAAGAGCCAGGTTAAGCATCTTGTATGAACATAATCAATCTGTTAGAAGAGAAAAATATCCAAATGCCTAAGAATTCTTGCCTAAAAATAACCTTTCACTTTCTGACTGCTGCAGATGTACAGTGCCCCATTCAGTGATCTCTCAAGTTCTGTCTATTACCCATAAAAAATGGCAAGTGAATACCAGACATGGAAGACTTATACCAGGCAAATGCTAGTTGCTTTTTAGTTATTAGTACAAAAGCAATACTTGTCTTTTAATTATGCTAGAGCCATTTTCTCATAATGCCTTATTTTCACCATGTGCCCTCCAAAGATTAGTACAGCTCAGCGAGAGATATTCAGATAGAATTAATAGAAAAGGTAATAGATCTTCTAATCATCTAGACAGATAGTTACATAACACAACCTGTATTCCTTGCCCTGAGACCATTTCTTTGTCGTAAAACAAAAGCCCAGCCCCACCGTTACCACCTTGTCTTCTTGAAATTATAAGCCTTCTTGAGCTTGGTGCCCTTCAAAGTAGGCACCTTATTTGCGGATAATTGGCATTATAGCTCATCGGGTTGGGAAAAGCTATGATAGATTTTTCACGGTAAATGTGCGGCAATCACATTTTCTCAAGATGTTGAACCAGGTTTGCTTTTCTGTGGCCTAAAAAAAAATTCTGTCCATGATGGTGTACAAGGAACTATTTTAATTTGGGACTTCAAACTCGGCTTCTTAGAGTTCTGTTTTTTTATTTTTGTAAGAAAAAAATAGTGCATTTATAGCTGGAACTAAATTGGATAAGAAGAATCAAAATGAGAGGAAAGGATAGTGATACTTGGGCCATATTCATAGTAATCAAAAGATGGAACTCCAGGATTATAGACAATCCTCTTCCAATTACTTGTTCACTTGGGTAATTTATGCAAAAGGACTCCCAAATATGTACAAATGTATTTTATTTCCACAATCTGTATAGGATCCAGAATTCACTTTTTTATGATGCAGATTTTAATATAGATGATGTGAAGGTAAGTTCATTTTTATGTAAAAAAAAGTTAGCTGACGCCCCACTTTTATGAAGTCAGCTTTTATGACCAAGTGATTGCCTTGAAGAATAGCTGGATTAATGAAGTTTTCAAGCTGTGTTTCATGCAGAAGATTTCTTCAATCTAGATATCAGGAATTACAGTTAAGACCCCCATCAAGCATCAAATGTTAAAAGGCAGATATGGATGATGCTTTTTTTTTTTACACCTAGGTGGGCTTCCAGATTGCTCAGATTGCAGACTGGGAAAACAGTTTAAACATTTTGTGCGATGGGTTAGAGCAGTGGCCCCCAATCTTTGGGGCACCAGGGACTGGTTCTGTGGAGAGAGGTTCTTCTGCAGACTGGTGGGAGCATGGTTTCGTGTGCTGCCTGCATTGTGCGGGTGGGGCTTTGCTTGCATGGCCCGGTGCCAGCCCATGGATCGGGTGCTGGGGAACCCTTGCTTAGCAGAAAGATGTAAGGATCCTACGATCAGCACTACACTACACTCAAGTTACATACCAGAGCAAAGTCCCAACAATGGCAACTGACTTTTTAAAAAACATTCTCACATTCCAAGGATCTTACATGCATGCTTCCAATTTAATACAAAGAAGTTTGGTTTGATTTGCTGCAATTCCCAATGTTGATAGTTTTGCTACCAAAGATTTTGTATACATCCATTTCTGGAAATGAGATGAATGCTGTGTATGGTACCATCACTGAAAGTGGGAAAAAAAATAGAGTGTTCTTTGATTTCTGGGCCAGGTGGCTAAAGTTTTTGTGTAAAGGTTCCATGGAAGTGGTGGTTAGAAAGTTGTGGCTAACTCCAATACCTTTGAGATAAAAATCAGTATTGTATTCCATTTGGTATGCATAATAGAACAAATTATCTCCACCTGTTGGTCATTCATCTGATCTTCACTCTTTTGCACAGTGATGCAGTAGTCTGCAAAAATGTGTCTCCATTACTAATCTCAGCTTTGACTTAGTTGTGCTGAGGTGGAAGCAGGATGGATGGGGACTAAAGGCCTTAAAGTCAAGCAGTGCTCAAAAGACTAGGGAGGCTTCTGATGTACAATAATCCTCAGCTTATAACCACAATTGAGCCCAAAATTTCTGTTGCTAAGTGAGACAGTTGTTAAGTGAGTTTTGCCCCATTTTACGACCTTTCTTGCCCCAGTTGTTAAGTGAATCACTACTATTGTTAAATTAGTAATATGGTTGTCAAGTGAATCTGACATCCCTATTGACTTTGTTTGTGAGATCACATGACCCTGGGACACTGCTACTATCATAAGTGAACCAATTGCCAAGCATCCAAATTTTGATCGTGTGATCATAGGGATGCTGCAACAGTGTCATAAGTCACTTTTTTCAGTGCCGTTGTAACTTCGGCCACTAAACAAATTGTTGTAAATCGGAGACTACTTGCACTAACCTGTCAGTACTGAGCACAACTGCCAAATGTTTCTGCAGGGCCTGTTTAGAGTTTATACTTGCAGTAATTTTAATCTTCCCCATTGGGGTTAGAAAAAGGGGTCTGACTATGACATTGCACTGAGTTTTGGAGGTTTCCCAAGAATCTCGAGGCTTAATTAAGTCTTGTCCATTCTCCCATTTTCAGTCTGACGCACAAAACTTGTCATATTGAGTTTAGATTCTTTCTGTATTTCCTGAAAGAGTCAGGAAGTAATTACTGTTCATTGAATTGGGATTTATGGGAAATAACTCACTGGTAAATCATAAAAATATTTTATCAAATCACTTGTCATGGAAAACCACAACAAGGTAATCACTTGAGAAGTACAGGTTCAACCAATTATTTTGGCCATCATTGACTGCAAGAATAGGAAAAAAATGCAGTTGGCTCTCCTTGATTCTTAGATTAGGGCAAAAAACCCAAGGGATCCACCAGATGGATCCTTGTTGAGATCCACTAAACACTAAAAAAAGGAGTTAATGCGTAATGTGTTTACTCATTCATCATCCTGAATATAGGCTAAGCTTCCTCTATAGTAGGGCTTTTCAACCAGTGGTATGGGTACCACTTGTGGTACATTGGCACCTGGCAGGTGGTACGCGACCATCCTAGAAAAGTAGCGGGGGAGGGGAATGAGCTGAACCGGTGGCAGCACCGCACAAGCCTGAGCGAGAGATGGCTGGAGCTGCAGGGCTGTCAGGGCTCAGCGGAAGCGCCAGGATCAGCGTCAGGCTCCAGCTGGAGCTGGGCGCTGATCCTGGCGCTTCTGCTGAGCCCAGAAGAAGCACCGATCAGCTGGAATGTTGCAGCATCTCCAGGCTCTTGTGATTTACATTCAGATGCTTGGCAATTGATTCATATTTATGACGGTCACAGTGTCCCAGGGTCATGTGAATGACCAAAACCTGCTGCAACCACCCAGCAGACGGGGAAATAAAAACCAAACACCCCCCATCCCACCCCCAGTGCCAATCCTCAACAGAAATGCTCACAACAATGAAAACCTAGACAGGAGGAAGAGCGCCACTGGGCGCTATCTTGCTCGGCTGTGGCTTGGGGGCACTTTTTTCAGTGCCATTGTAACTTCAAAAAGTCACTAAGCAAACTGTTGTAAGTCGAGGACTACCTGTACTTTTATCACTTTTTTCTCTTTTTTTTTTTTTTGGCCATCAAGTTTTTGACACCTTGCTAGGCGACTGGTGGTACTCGGATGTTGCCATATCCTAAAAATGGTACAATGGATGAAAAGGTTGAAAAGCCCTGATCTGTTCACATGCGCACAAAGGCCACAAGCATGCGCACTACACAAATGGGGCTGCGAGCATGCGCACGAGGCTCTCAGTGACATCGGCACCTGTGTGAGGCTTGTGCTGCCACTGCCAGGTTCACAATGATGCTACCACCGGCGCAAGGATCACACCGCTGCCTCGTGTGAGGCTCATGCCGCAGCCCGCAGTGATGCCACCGGTGTGAAGATTGCACCACTGCCCTGCACAAGGTTTGCACTACGGCCTGCCTCTTGCGGTGCTGCTGCCGCCTGCGCAAACTTCAAGGCAATGCCACCAACTGCATGTGCAGTGCTCCCACTGCCTGTGCAAAGTTTGTGGCCTCCAACCACATGATACTATGGTGCTGCCACCACCTGCACAACACGGCAACAGTGACATGAGGGCGGGTGAGCAATGGCACACATGCCCATGCACTGCTCAGCTATTCATGCGGCCTGGTGGCCAAGAGGCCACAGCCTGGTGGTGGGCCTCGGCCCATAGGTTGGGGACCTCTGCTTTAGAAGGTTTTGGGGCAACAACCACAATACTTAGT